TCAAGCGCTGCCTTAAATCAGATAACTAATAAAAAAGATAATAAGACAATATTTTAAAATACCAATTAACCTCTTTCTTGTGTTGATTAGATTCGGCTATTAAGTTTTGCTTGTCCTTGCCAGACTCCTCTTCCAATGCAGCTAACTGTCCCTTTAATTCCTTAACTTCATTGGATAACCCACTCACTCTTTCTTTCAGTGACAACTATATAAAGAGTATTATCTTTAATAATAATACATTGATTCTCTTTACTTCACGAATTGACGATTCCTTTGCAGTATCAATGTGCTTATCAATGAGAGTGTGAGCCTCTTTCAATGACTTCAATACAGTGCAGTATTCAACTCGAACATCAGAGAGCTGCTCCTGTAGCTGATGTGTCACCTCTCTCTCCTACAAAACAGTATGCATGCATAATACATGTACATATAATATGTACATGTACATGTGTATACTACATGTACATGTGTATACTACATGTCTGTTAATTAAACACACAATTGAATTAGCTGAATCAATATATATGCATGAAGCCTTGTACAATACACATGCAGTGTAATTACCACTCTCAGTTGCTGATCAATGTTTGTGGGTTTCTTCATCTCTATACCAACCTCTTCTGCTTTTAGTTTAGCCTAAAAATTAATAGATCAACAAGACATTACTTTATTACACTTACTTTAAGTTTGATGCAGTCTTTCTGGTAAGTATCCAATTCTTCCTTATACGAGTCAACAACACATTGCTGATGGTTGTTAGCAGTTGCTAGTCTGCCATTTAACTCTACTGCCTCCCTCACTTCAAGAACATAGGTAATATTAGTAATGTCAGATCAGTAGTATCAGTATAGCATACCATTTGATTCTAATGTCTCCAGTAGTTTAGTGACTTCAATTACTTTTGTCTCCATATCAACACACTGCTGTTCCATTTGACTCAACTGACTGTGATAATTCTCTTGTGAGACATTTAATACTTGAAGTGTATACTCCTATGTATATGTGTGTGCGTGATGTACATGTACGTGTATATCATGTGTATTAATGTCAAATAATTATGCACTAACTTGCTCACTGAGCTTCTTTTCTAAATTATACTTGATCATCTATAATAGACTGCATATAATATCTCTTTTTCATTTCCACTTACATGTAAAGCTCTTATTTCATCCTTCAGTGCTTGGAATTCCTTTTCCTTTCCTTCGAAGAGGCACTTTAGTTTAACCTTATGAGCATAAACGTATGCATACATGACTTGAATCTAACTATGAAATTCATCATAAACTCAAAAACTAAATTCATCACTGCACAATATCTCAATATTTACATGCATTGTACTACAAATTTAATAATGATTCTGATCCAAAAATTATTTACTTTCTCCTCCTCAAGCTGTTTCAACTGTTCATTGCATTTCCTCTCAGTCTCCTCCTCCAAGTGAGAGTGAGATTCCAACACTTCATTCAACTGCTGAGTTTGTTTCTCCTACAAGCCAAATTGACATAGCATACAATAAAACACTAGTGCATATAGTGTTGAGATGGTGTGTTAGATAAACATGCTCTGGCTTGTGAATTACTATACTTGAGCCATAAAAGGGAATGGGTCAGTTGCTTAAAGTTAATTCATAGCAGCATCGATGTCTATGTGATGAATATTCTTAAAGGGTGTGTTTGTTAAGAAGAGGCAATGGCACTTGTAATACTCCTTCTGTTTGCCTTCTTTGTCAATGAGGCTCAGGCTAAATGCAGTCAATCTGCCAGTCTAAGTGTATTCCTACTACAGTCAAACTCTCCTATTGAAGCAGATGAGATCAATAACTTAACAGACATAAAGAATGGCTTGGGGTATGAAGAGGATGAGTCCTGCTGTCTTTATTATGTGGAAGATAATGAAGGGAACGATGTGAATGTAACAGCTTGTAAAGACATTGAAATTGACAACGCTCTGGATGCTATCAATACCACTGAATACTATCATCATGTACTGGTACTGGGTAAAGAAGGAACCTCTTTAAACTACACACTTCACAAGACAAGGAACATTAATAGATACCTCGAAATTGATTATTATTATTACAAAGCATCAATCACATTAATTGGTAGAGGTAGTCCAACGATAAAGTTTTCAGGGATTTCTTTTAATTTT